TCTCTCTCTCTCTCTATATATATATATATATATATATATATATATGCTGATAATTATGCTCCCACACATATGATGATATCTTCTGATAAATCAAATGATAAATCAATCTTGAAAATGTAAGCGTTATAATCTTTTTAGCCACCATCACAACTTTTTAATATAGTCAAGGCCAGGCTTTAGTGTATTTAAATTTAAAAATATAATAATAATACAATTATTTAAAAAAAACAAGCACATATAAATTTTTTTAATTATATAGTTTCACATTTTTGCATCTGCATTATGCATATTAATAGGTAAATGGATTGCAACAAACCTTAACTTAGCTTTATTATCTTAGATGAAGGAGTTCGAGGGAGGCTATTAGCTTCATTTGCTTCCTCTGATGGACTGCCACTGGGCATGTTGCCTATATTGTTAAAAACAAACAACAAAGATTTTTAAACTAATGCAGCCTGATCTTTTAAGTGTTTACTCGGCTTTTTCTCTCACAGTGTTTCACAGATATAATTACTGTTGCACACAAACAACCTTTTTTAAAATTATTCTCTTTTTTTTTTTTGGCCTTACCACCATCAAAGACACTTATTCACCAAAATGAGTGTGTCAATCATGCCCACTTCCAGCCCCTTTGATGAGCAAGTCTTTGACACAGGGTGGTGGTAGGCGATAATTGAGAAGATTTTGTACGGTCATCATCTGAGAAAGCTATATGGGGACCTCACTTCAAGACAGTGGTGGGCAACAATGGAGTCCCCACAAGGACCACCTGTTAGTGATGGATCCCATCAGGAAGAGCCTGTGCCTGCCAGCCTCACTGAGGCAGCACCCATTCCAACTGGATCCCAAAAGGAAGAATCTGTGCCTGCCAGGAACCCGCTGAGGGGAAAAATAAGGATCCCAGAAAATATAAAACAGCATCTTGTCAGGCATAATGTCTTGACACCTTTTCCCTAAGGCTCCCAAAGGGACCACCTACACCTTCCAGTACCCCAAAAGGAGCAACAGCATCCAATGGGTACCCACAAGGATACCCAAAGAGAGCAATTTGCCCACCAGGTCCCATGAGGAGGCACCTGTGACCACCAAGCCCCCACTGAGGAGAAAACAGATGATCCCAGAAAATATGAGCATGCTGTTTTGACACCTTTGCCATTTTATTAGGAAGTTTTTGGATTAAAATGTTATATTTATAAATGTGAAATGTATTTATTTATATATTGATGCAAGTGACCTACTTTTTGATTAATTTGATTTGATTAATGTGGAGTTATCTGACTGTGAAATTACACCTAAGCAGCACAATGTTTATAAAACAAAACGTAACCTAAGTGTGTTAACATGTAACATTCTAACAAAACGAACAGGTTTAGCACCTTATTTAATGCTATTAGCCCCCATTTTGAGCCTGACCATTTTGTTTCACATCCAAACATATATGTGTTTGAATAAATAACAGTGTGTTGAAAACAGAACTGACTTTTGGAATTTCCTGGAAAAACAGGCATTAAAATGTGTCTGGTATAAACATTCTGTGACACTTCAAGAAGACAGAATTTCTCTGTTTCTAACCACAGGGAATTACATAAAATTAATTTCATATAGAGCATAACAATTTTGAGAACTGTACGATTCTGTCAATGCATTCTTTTTTTTATTAAAAAAAACATACAAATATATTTCGATATATTTTAATATATTTTGTATTATATTTCTAATACCCCCCCCCCATACAAAAAAAAGTTGAATCCCTTTATAAAATATAAAAGTTATACATGCTTAACTTAGTTATATCTCCTTAGACGTTGCTACGTAGTTAATAAGCAATGTCTGAAAAATTCTTACATTTTAACAGATGGCACAGAATAAAATCTACAATATCTTTATTTGCTGTTTGATGTTGAAGTTAATTACTAAACATCATTGTTATGCCATGTTATATCATTGGTTTTATTACAATTGTTCATATTCAAGAGCTAATATTCACATTGCAAAACAGAAAATAACAGAGGCCATCTGAAATTTTCCACTGTGTATACAGTAGTACTACAGCCACATGGACAGGTCACATGACAGTCACATCATCTGAACAAAACCCAGGTGTCTCAGGGCATCACAAAGAGAGCAACAAACCTACTGTGAACTTAACTTTAAAAGTCTCTTTAATGTGAGCGGTTGGGGCCATGCTTCAGATTACTTCAAATATTGCATGCGCCCATTTTGGCTCTACAAATGTGAATGTCCAGAGTGTGGAGGATGGCAATAATTCACAGTATGCAGACCGGACGAACTGTGGCAGACTCCACTCTCGATCTCTTTATGGCTCTGAGGAGACAAAACACTCTACGGAAGAGATTGACAAGGACAGAAGCCACATAAGACTTCGTTCAAGATCGTTCTATGTTTGTGACACTGATGATGCAGGAATGGGTCATTTTACCAGATGCAATGCTATCAGACCAAGAGCAAGATCACTACACAGTGAGGATGGGAAAAGAAACACTGGCGGGACAAGTATCACTGCAAAGCCTCCGATCAAAAGACCTAAAGGAAACTCAAGCAAACGGGCCAGCAAGGATCTTACAGGTGCGTGAGTGAGATCTTTTTACCTTTGAAAAATGTCACCTTTAGGGTACTTGCATTGATAAAATCATAAATAAGCACAAATGCTTCTGTAACACCTCTGAAGGCTTAATTTAAGCTACAATTAATAATGAATGAATTATTATTAATTAACAATTATTCTAATCCCAAAATGCATTCGCGACTTTACTCCAATATAATACATATGCAAATCAAAAAATGTTCTGGCTGAAAATTATAAGCTCATACCGTGTAAAACTACTTTTAAAAGGAAAGATATTGTAATAATGATTCTAACTGCAGAAAAAAAAATGTTTTACACACATTTTAAATAGATATGTAAAAAATAATAAAACAAACAAACACACTTAAATCAATCTTTTAAAATGTATTTGTTTGAACTTAAAGTTAATTTAGTCATCACAACAATGTTATTGAATTATTATTATTATTATTATTGAATTTACATTAAGTGAGTAATCTAAATTCCAGAGCAAGCTACCCTGTCAGTCCTGTGAAGCTATACTGTACATTCATGACAGAAGTCTCTCCTTTTATGTCATTTCTACACAGGCATACTCAGCTCATTTATACCATGAATATATAACCACATAATTTAAAAATTGTTTAATTAACTAAGATTTTTTAAATGGTTAAAATACATTTTAATATTATTGTTGTTGTTGTTGTTATTACTGGTAATATAAATAATCATGACATTAATAATTACTATATATTCTATTTCATAGACTTTGGTAGTTCTTTTATAATATTTATTAGTATAAATATAAATGTTGATCATATTAATGTTATATGTATTACAGAAATATTGCTGAAGTCTAATTTTTTCTATTAGGTTTTATTCCAAAGTTGTATTTAGTATAGCTTAAATGAAGCAGAAATTAGTAGAAATGTACATTTAAATATCCAATATCAGCTGATTCTGACCAAACAAAATCTCTAATATGAGCTGATAAGCTGATTCCCCAAAGAACGTTTTTTTCTTGGTGTGAAGAACATTTTAATAATCTAAGGCAGTGGTTCCCAACCCTGGTCCTGGAGGCACCCCAACACTGCGCGTTTTGCATGTCTCCTTAATCAAACACACCTGATTCAGGTCATCAGCTCATTAGTAGAGACTCCAAGACCTGAAACTGGTGTGTCAGAGAAAGGAGACATGCAAAATGTGCAGTGTTGGGGTGCCTCCAGGACCAGGGTTGGGAACCACTGATCTAAGGAACCTTTTTTTTTTTTTTTACTATAAAGAACCTGCAATGCAATGGAAAGTTTCTTCATGGAACCACAGATGCCAATAAAGAACCTTTATTTTTAAGAGTGTAACTAAGGAATCCTGTAGTGTCAGTTAGCAAGATCAGACAAGAAAAAAAAAACAAAAAAAAAACACAAGATGACAAGAAAAAAAATTGGCTTGACAAATTATTTTTTACAGATATATTTATAATTTAGGGTTACACTTTCTTTATGGTTGGGAACATAAGTTATAATATTATTGTCATTCGAGTCATCCTGCAGTTTTTTTTACTTTTGAGCAATTCAACATTTTAACAGGAAATAAAGGAAGTTTAAAGGGTGTACCCATGATGACCATTTCTGAGGTGGATAACTGGGAGATAAGCTCTTCTTCGGGGATGAAATACGGTCAGTATGTAGACTGGGAAAAGATCGACCCAGAAGCTGCCACCCGTTATGGGAAGATCCTCTCAAGTGATCATTATGAGCTCAAAGCAATGGGCCGTACAGGATTCTGGTCCACTCCTCATACTCTCAGAGCCAAGGCTTACCAGCACATCATCCACAGCATCGAGAGCACATCCACCACCGCTGATCTGGACACTTACCATGGCATAGTTAGGAAGCTTTTTGGGGAACTGCAAACAAGCACACACCCTTTCCCAAAGTTTATGGAGGATGGGGAAATTCCCAGATACTGCTTAAATAAAGCAGGTCTGAATTCGGTGAAAAAAATTCTCATTTGTATAAACCACCATTTTCTTGATGTCAGCTTCTGTCCTATTCTGTCCGCTCTGGTGTCTCTTCTCTTGCACTTCAGTGAGGATGAAGCCCAGTGTTTCCACATTATTTGTTCCCTGGTGTCCTACACAGACCCTAAAAAGCATTACATTGACCGGACTTTCCTCACTTCACGTGCCTCATGCATGACCTTTGGTGACCTTGCCAATAAATACTGCAGGGGAATTCGGAAGCTAATAGCCAGCTCTCACCAGAACCTGTTTGAGTTCTACTCTGACTGGATCATGTGGATCTTCGCCGATCTGCCTTTCACATACGCTATCAGAGTGCTGGATGTTTATCTAATGGAGGGTTACAAAGTTTTATACCGTGTAGCTCTTGCTCTACTCAGCTTTTACAAGGTCTCTGTGTCTTCACGAGTGGCCCACGTCGACGACTTCAGACAGGACATGAAGAGTTTTGTGCAGAATGTGGGGCGGCACAGTACTATTAACGCTCTGCTTCAGAGGGCTTTTAGTATACAGCTGCCCACACGTAAAGAACTGACTTATCTCTTCAATGCCAACAAGGATGCACTAATTCAAAAGGACATCCACAATAAGAGGTGAGGAGTTTGTGAAGTCGTTTATTGTGTTTTCTGTAATTCCTATTATATATAAAACTGTATTTTTGACATTGACAATAGAACTACAACAAATGTATCTTTTTTTTCAAGCTCATACCAAGCAATGGATTTTCGAGCCTTCAGATCCTCTGTAGTGACTGAAACAGAGATGAGGGTGGTCTGGGCCTGGATTCCAGAGCGATTTGCTCTGTTCAGTCCTGTGCAGCTATTCAGTACAAATATTCATGGCAGAAGACTCTTCTCGTAAGTTATTATGATTCACAGGGACGCTTAGGCTACATGAATTATACTATCAATACAATAACTTTAGAATTAGAAAATTTAGCTTTAAATGGTTAAAATATATGTAAACATGCATATAAATAATAGTAATGATACTTATTATTAGAAATATTTTTTCAGCAGCCATTACACTAGTCAGTGATCTTCAGAAATCATTCTAATATGCTAATTTGATGCACAGATGAAAACTTTTTATACTTTTTATACTAGGAAATTATTATACTTTTTCAGGATTCTTTGCTAACTATAAAGTTGAAAATAACAGTATTTATTTGAAGTAGTTTTTTTTGTAACGATTTAAAAGTCTTTACTGTCACTTTGCATCCTGGTTGAACAAAAGTATTAATTTCTTTAAAAATAATAATTTTCCTGCTAGGTTTTATTCCAAAGTTGAGGGGCATGATCCAACTGTTTTACTCTTGAAAACTGAAGATGAGGACGTATGCATGCATTTTTTTTTTATCTTACAGAAAATACATAAATGCACAGTATTTTGCAACATTTTGATTTGCTTTTGCTTGGCCTCATGGCAACACAGATTTGTGGGGCTTTCTTGTCTTCTGATTGGGCTCAGAAGAATTGTGATGAAAAGGGATTTAAGTTCTTTGGCACAGGAGAGTGTTTTGTTTTCACTGTGAGTAAGTCTACATTTGTCATCTGATTCAATTGATTTATTGTGCTTTAAACTACATGTTGCATTGTATGCACAAGAATATGATTTGAATAAGTTAATCAAATCAACTTTTCAGCTACGACCAGGAATGGAACGGTTCCAGCGTCCAGTGCTACAGATCTCTGGGATGTCTGACAAATGTTATTCCTCTCATCAGAAACAAACTCTCTCCGTTAGCTCTCTGCTAAACACTCATGTGGACAGACCCACTGGAGCCTCTCAGAACCAAAGATATGAGTCTGCACCATTCTGCACATTGTCAACCTTCAAATTCATGGCAGGAAATGATGAGACACTTTTTATTGGTAAGCCTTTTTTTTTTATCTTTAATGACATGAAAGGTTTCAGCATGTAATTCAGGCTCAGTTATCCCCTATTATTATTATAAAGAATGTAACAGCCTCTCAGGCTAATATTTGCATGCCCTGAATGCACATTTCACCTGCAAACGTGCTGTTACGCTGCCTATGTGTCAACATTACTGGGAAAAATAGACTCTAATAAATGTTGTGTATACACTGCTTTACTTACGGCTCTTAGTGTGTGGTCTCTATCCTGCAGGTGGTGATGATGGCCACGCGCTGCACCTGCAGGCAGATCTGACAGCTGGATCTTCTGAACACTGTGATACGTTTGAGAGTCCACCTCTCTGCAGGGGATGCTTCAAGATCCAGTCTCTAGAGGTGTGGGGTATCCAGCACTCTTTGTCTGTTCCACCACTGCTATCACAGTGAAGACTGTGGAGAATATCTGTTGCTTGCCCACACATCAAAGGTCACACTGCCAAATGTCATCATGCTTTGAGACAAATCTAAGGCCATTAAAACTATTTTTTGACTGCAGTGTAGGACTACATGTACATTGTTGTGCTATTGCTTTATGAACAGTAAAAAATGTAAATTTAAGATTCAAATATCCACAATATTATTTATTTACATTTTAAATACTTGTTTTATTATATAACTTGCTAAATTATTTTAATATTGTGGTCCTGTTGTTCACTGTATTTCTGGAATAACTAAAGTGTGTAAAACCTTTTGAATAGAAGTTGCAAAGTATTAAAGGGGTCATATGATGTTGCTAAACAGAACATTATTTGGTGTATTTGGTGTAATGAAATGTGTTTATGCGGTTTAAGGTTCAAAAAACACATTATTTTCCACATACTGTACATTCTGTACATTCCTTTATGCTCCGCCTTTCTGAAACGCGTCGATTTTTACAAAGCTCATCGGTCTGAAAAGCGAGGTGTGCACCCAAGCATGTATAATTGTTTTATTTATTAAGGATGACGACGACGATCAAGGGCACAAAACATGCCTAAACAGCACGCATGCACGCGCGCGAGAGAGAGAGACTACCTGAATGACTGAGCGCGTGAATGATTGAGCGCATCCTCAATCAGGTTAAATCATATTCATGATAAAAATTAGTTTGCGATGTCCTAAGAGTAATGTTGTTGTAATATCCTAATATCTTTTCAATGTTTAGGGGTAACGTACTCCCTCATGACTGGTGTCAGTGCTATAAAGTTATTTAAAGTATAAAACATTGTTATTTACAATACACAGCGTGGTTTTTAATCATATTTTTAGGGGGGGACAACCCTCAGATGAGGGGGTCCTGTCCCCCCCGACCCCCCCCGGGATTTCCGCCTATGATTTGGGGTGACGTGACATCTGCTGGTGTTGGTCCATTGTGTTTTATCAAGTCCAAAGTCAATGCAGCCGTCTACCAGTAGATTTTGGAGCACTTTATGCTTCCATCTGCTGACAAGCTTTATGGAGATGCTGATTTCCTTTTCCAGCAGGACTTTAGCACAACTGATCGCTTCCATGCCACACCTCACTGATGCTGGAATGAAGGAGCCACGACCAAGTATTGAGTGTATAAATGAACATACTTTAAAGAACTTGAGCTTTTCTGTTTCGCAAATCCATTTTTTTGATTGATCTTAGGAAATATTCTAATATTTTGAGATACTGGATTTTTGACTTTCATGAGCTGTAAGCTCTAATCATCAAAATTCAAACAAAATAAAAAACATTTGAAATGTTTTACTTTACATGTAATGAATCTAGAATATATGTTTCACTTTTTTAAATAAGTTACAAAAACAAGAACTTTTTCACGATATTCTCATTTTTTGAGATGCACCTGTATGTTGAACATATATTTACTCATGCAGTATATATCCATATATTGTCAATGCATATACTTCTGTATATTGAAAAATATAAGCACTAGTTTTCAATATATGGAAATGTATTATGTAATATATTGCAATATATTTTGCAGTATATTCCCATATATTTTTGTTCCGTAAAAGGGACAAGGCTATCCCCTCAAAAACAGTGCATAAGGATAATAAATGTATAGCCAAAGTCATGTCACTCGGCAGCCATCTTTGAAATGCCTGTCGGGCATGCAAGTGCAGCTCCTATCTCTTTGTATGGGGAAACATCAAATTCTCCCAAACTGTTCACTAAGCTTACAATTAAATTTCATATTTGAAATCACCAATGAAATCTGACAACACCTGTGCCATAAATGTGGTTTCTTTTGCTCAAATAGCATTATAAAAAGCTTATTTTTCAGGCTCAGCCAGTGCGCATGCGCAGTCCTAAGTGCACATCTCAGAACGCTGACTATTGGTGCATTCCAAATGGGATATATCGCCCTCCGAAGGGCACTTCGGAGTGAAAACAATCATGGCTGCCATATTGAAGTGTAGTCTTTCCAAACTGAAGTGCTCAAAACTGGCCACTTCAAAGGGCCCTTCGGAATGAAGGATTTCAAAGGGTACAACTGACGGACACTTCGGGCTCCCATGATCCTTTGCGCAGATTCTTTGCATGATGACGGCGTCACAGTACAAATATAATTGTATTTTAGCCCTTTACTAGGGCAGTAACCTCAAAGGTGCAACTATACCCCTAAAAGGGAGCATATTAGTACCATACAAGTATGCATGCTTTAAGGGTAGATAAGTTATAAAGGTGCAATTTTGTAATATCTTTTTTTTTAAGTCTCATGCTCACCAAGGCTTCACTTATTTGAACAAAAAACAAAGCAAAAACAAAAAAAAAAAACAGTAAAAGCACCAATATTGTAAAATATAACAATTAAAAATAACTGTTTTCTATTTTAATATATTTTAAAATGTAATTTAAAATGCATCTGTGATCAAAACTGAATTTTCAGCATCATTACTCCAGTCTTCAGTGTCACATGATCCTTCAGAAATAATTCTAATA